TAAATATTTATTAGACTGTGAACTAGAATAAAAATGTAGTAAGCAGACTGGCTTGTCTTTTAAGGTCCCGTTGTCATGCCGAGACCAAGCTAGATCCCAAATAATGTAACATCAATGTGAGCAGTTTCCCATAAAATATTAATTACCAACATGAAAGAAAAAAAAAACTACAACAAAGATTCATAAGACGGGACGAAGTTCCCGCATGATATATTCTCGAGAATATATATGCATATTAAGCAAAGGACACTCACCAACATTGTAGACGAGAATAAAATTCATGACAAAAATCTCTGTTTTGTTGATCTTGTAGTGCTGATCATTTTGTCTGTTCAGTTTCTCTCTATCTTATTAATTTTATGCCCAAAGAACAAAAAAGGGTTAAAAAAATCAGTTTGTTTTCGATCTATGAGTTTGACTGTCCCTCTGGTATCTTTCGTCCCTCTTTTCTATTCTACTAACTATATCGGAAAAAATTGACTTGTTATTAGATCTTGCCTTGTTGATAATTTTTGTGATTTAAAGTGTCTATTTATCTATTATAAATGTTATCATATAAGTCAAAACGCAAAAAAAAAAAATTGGTAAAAATCGTCATTAAAAGGCAATAACTGCTATAATGATTCGTCAGACCGTTTCCTTCATTTGTCTTAATTAACAAAGACTAATAGGGGACAATCAATGGTGGTATTATACCTTAAGCCTTTTTCAACTGATTTTGATAGTTTGTTTTTATGTTCAACTGTTACACCACTGTTGGTGCCTTCAAACGAGTTTAATTCCGCCAATTTCTGTATGTCATTGTGCCTGTCCCAAGTCAGGAGCCTGTAATTCAGTGGTTGTCGTTTGATGCTGTGTAACATTTTTGTTTTTCGTTCATTATTTTGTACATGAATTAGGCAATTAGTTTTTTCGTTTCGAATTGTTTAAAATTTGTCATTTCGGGGCCTTTTATAGCTGACTATGCGGCATGGGCTTTGCTCATTGTCGACGGCCGTATGATGACCTATAGTTGTTAATTTCTGTGTCATTTGGGGAGTTGTCTCATTGGCAATCATACCACATATTCTCATTTCTATATTCATTTAAGAAGAACGTTATTAAGAATCTTAGAAATTGGTTTAAAAGTAAGTTGAACATCTAGTCGAGCCGGTAATATTTGTATATATAGTTATACATATCTTCCTCATTTCGCTTGAATGATGAAGGTGTACTAATCCTGATTCCCAGATTTGCTGTGAATTCCAATTTTTATAGTTTAGTAGTAAAATTGAAAATGACATTTTTAGTTCACTTTGTTTACAGGGTCAAGTGAGCTTTTCTCATCACTTGGCGTCCGTCGTCCGTCGTCGTCATCGTCCGTTAACTTTTACAAAAATCTTCTCTGTAACTACTAGACCAAATTTAATCGAATTTGGCCACAATCATCATTGGGGTATCTAGTTTAAAAATGTGTCCAATGACAACGTCTGCCATTCAAAGGTGGCCGACATGGCTAAACATAGAACATAGGGGTAAAATGCAACTTTTGTCTATTATTTTGAAAACCGTTATAAATAGGGAGAATTTTTCAGAATGTTAAGTTCTACCAATTGTCCATATACGTCAAAACTGTCAGACGTCTTCTTAAAGGAGTTATTGCCCTTCAATGACAAATTTTACCATTTTTTTTTCAATTTATACCTTATTATCTTGAAAACTATAACATGTATAATAGATAGAAAGAAACTTTAAAATGCAAAAATGATCAGCAAGACAAGTTCTTCAAATAAGTCTTTCATGGTCAAAATCGTCATTCGACTCCTTATTAGAGTTATTGCCCTTTGATGATCAGCAAGACAAGTTCTTCAAATAAGTCTTTCATGGTCAAAATCGTCATTCGACTCCTTATTAGAGTTATTGCCCTTTGATGATCAGCAAGACAAGTTCTTCAAATAAGTCTTTCATGGTCAAAATCGTCATTCGACTCCTTATTAGAGTTATTGCCCTTTGATGACAATTTTTACCATTTTTTTGCGTTTTTGCCTTATATCTTAAAAATTATAATAGATAGACAGAAATTGAAATAATAAAAAATGATCAGCAAGACAAGACCTACTTATAAGATAAATGGAGGAAACGGTCTGACGTCTCCTTATAGCAGTTATTGCCCTTTAATGTCGATTTTTACAATTTTTTTTTTTTTTTTTTGCGTTTTGCCTTACATGTTAAAAATATAATTGATAAATAGACACTTTAAATCACAAAAATGACCAAGAAGGCAAGATCTACTAACAAGTCAAATTTTTCCGATATAGTTGGTAGAATAGGAGTGATTGCCCTTAAATTAGGATTTTTTTCACTTTTTTGTGCTTTGCGCATAAAATAAACAAGATAGAGAGAAAATGAACAGACAAAATGATCAGCACTACAAGATCAACAAAAAAGAGATTTTTGTCATGAATTCTATCCTCGTCTACAATGTTGGAGGGTATCCTTTTCTTTCATATGCACATAGACCAAGGTGAGCGACACAGGCTCTTTGGGGTCTCTACTTTGCATATACACATAATACTGTTTTGACGGTGTAGGTGTTGGATAACAACGCTCGAGTCTGTTTATAAGATCTAGAGAAGAAATAGCCTTCATAACTCTACAAACTTCTTCCAAGTCCTTAGAGGCTCTTATGCTCATGGTACATTGTAGTAGTCATGTCATTCTGAATATATGACACAACAGCATTGATCCATTCAGATAAAAATTCCATCAGTATCTTATAAGTTTCTTCCCCATGTAGATGGACCGTGGATTGAATAAGAATGATGAACAAAAGCAATCGAGAGGTTTTGATTTTACATCCTTTATGATACATGTTTCTAGTAACGCGTACGTGAAAGAACGCAAACATCGTAAAGTGGCGGCCCTCATCGAAAGCATTTCTTCCATGTTGATTAACGATCTATTTGAAAGGTACAGGTTGTATTGTCTTTTGCTACAGACACTTTACAAATTGGCACCAGTGTCAGCAGAAAGATGCCAAAGAGGGTCTCATCCTTTTTTTTAAAAGTTTATCTGATATCTGAAAATACCAAGACCTTGCTGATTAATATTCCTTATCAACTTCACAAATAATACATGATGGTCTTGAATTATAGATTCTAGGTGCTGACGTTGTTTATCATCTTAATTACGTATTATAGTGTTCTATTTATTTGTCTTTGTATATTTTTAACCTTTACTGTTTATTTCATTTTTGTCAGGTAGTATCCTTTTGTCGTATCTAGGTATTTATACATCCCTCCATTGTAATATCGTGCTATGGTCAATTTTGTTATTCTTTTCTTTCATTTTCGATATGTCTCTATATGCCATTTTTTTTCATTGTTGACCTAGTTGTTTTTTTTTATGGTAATTAAGATTATACTACAATGTTGACTGTTTTACCCCAATTTTTTGACATTTTTACCTATTATGTCTGTTTGTTTTGCTCACACATTGTTGTCAATATAATGGAATTCTATGCAACTGGCATACAAGTGAGAAGTTTAGCTAGCTATAAAACCAGGTTTAATCCACATTTTTCTACATTTGACCGTTGTTTTCTATTCGTTTGATGTGTTTGAGATTTTGATTTTTGAAATTTGATAAGGGATTTTCCGTTTTGAAATTTCCTTGGAGTTCGGTACTTTTGTTATGTTCCTTTTAATGACTTGTCTCTGGGAAAAGAATAACCAAAGCCAATATCTGCAGTATGTTCTAGGCTTGCATTCAGACAGCTGGCAAATTGGTGTTGCGCCCCCGGCTTTTTTCAGTCATTTTGTTCATTACAGACATATACATATAAATTGTATCAATGGTCTCTGGTACAGCTTAGTAAGGATTTATATACTATGAATCTGTCTCTGGTGAGACTAAGGCAAAATCCAGGTGCGGTTCCAAGATTTTGAAAAAAGGGGCCTCTGGCATGCCAACGTTTGGCCAAGTGATCCATGTAAAAAGTATCTGCATTTGTCATATATATGGATCATTTAAAAAAAATGTCGAATTTTCAGTACACCTATGCTAAAAATTTTATATCTAAAGGAAAATGCAGTTGTAAGTGTTTCAATGAAAGTTTATAGAATTCATGAGTCAGAACATGAATAATAAACAAGATTTAGATCTATTTTGATACGATTAAAATATATTTAAGGCCGATTTTTGCGTAATGTATGTGCGTACAGTGTCAGGATACCACATTTCAAATTATTATTTCCCTATTTTCTGATTGCCTTGATATCTGTAAAAGGGACTTTTTAAGAATGTTAATAATAACTCTAATGAAAAATCACAGTTTCCTTATTATTCTATGTAACATTTTTTCTACAAACTAGATTCAATCAGCGTACATGAAGTTCGTTTCCATCCTGTTACTGCTACTTAAATCAACCGTCAAATTGTTCTCCCTATGAATATTGAATTAGTGAGTGTTGATTTCAAAAGCACAAAGCAACCTAAAAATTTAAAACAGCACGCTTCTTGCATAACAGTGAAGAGAAAAGAAATTTCAAGACATTTAGTGACAAAAATTAGTGGGTATCTTTTAGTCATGTCTATGATGTTAGTAAAAAGTGCAATAACTTGTTGGAAACCAAATTCACAACAGGAAAACGTTATCACTTCATCAGAGGTAGTAGTTATTTTACAACATCATTCATAAATGAAGAAATTTGTCTATGGTAACAGTAACAGGATATACAATATGTGTCAAAAACGTCTTATTTAATAACACCAGTGGTCTGTTGTTCAACTTGTCATTAAATTAAACGAGTCGTTAAATTTTACTAATCACTGCGTTAAATTTAATCAGTCCATTATCATGTTGTTTAACTTGTCGTTAAATTTAACGAGTCGTTTAAAATTGTCAAAGTGTCGTTATATTTAATCGACCTCATTGAAGTTGATTAAATTTTGATCAGTTGATTAAACTCAATCTCAGATGGCTGTCAATGTATTGTTTCAACCACCTGTGGTAAGAAGAGAGAGACATTTTCGCGGTTCTGACCCTCTTGAAAGGGAATTTTCTGATGAGGAGCTAAGGCAGAGATATAGATTTGGCAGAGAGACCATTGAGTACTTGTCGGATTTAATGAGAGGGGATCTGGAGCGTGGGACAAACAAGGAGACAGCTCTTTCAGTGGAGCAACAGGTCATGATTGCCTTGAGGTTTTATGGTAGTGGATCACACTTGCAAGTTGTTGGGGACACAATGGGATTTGACAAATCAACTGTGTCTCGGGTGATTGACCGTGTGGCGGAATCATTAGTTGGCAGGAAGGATGAATTCATATCGTGGCCAAATAACCAGAGGAAGAATGTAATAAGGGCTGAGTTTTATGAAAAGGCTGGTTTTCCAAACGTGGTTGGATGCATTGATGGGACCCACATACGGATTACTGGGCCTAGCATTGATGAACCAGTATTTGTGAACAGAAAGGGGTTCCACAGCATCAACGTACAAGCCATTTGTGACCATGAAGGTAATTTAAAATACTATATTCTACCTATTTTATGTTTACAACATGCATTGTGTGCGTCCTTTTTCTTGACATCTTCAATCGTCCTTGACCATATACATGGCTGGTTTTCTGTTGAACTGGTTTTCAGCTAATTTGAAAATCGATGGAAAAAGAAAGACAACTCAATCTTGTCATATACTTTTTAATGGATCTGTAGAATCAATGCTTTTTACCGTTTCACTTTTAAATATGATGGATCGAGTGACCTGCTAAGAGTTTATGCTTAAAACATAAATTTATTGATCAAAATAATTTTAAAGATTTGCCCATCCACCCCTTTACCTTATAGGTAGAATTTGGTCAGGCTTATAACCTTTGAAACGTCAACAAATAGTGTGCCTCACGTAGTTTGCAGAAATTCTGGATCTACCTCTAAATGTTTCTGTGAGGAGACAGAACCCCCCCCCCCACCCACCCCCCCAAAAAAAAACCACAAAACAAAATAAGTGTCCAATCATCCAAATTTTTCGCCTCCCCCATTCTTTCCGGTTGGGAAATAGTGACCAATCCTTAAGCCAGTCATTGTTCAATACATTAAAAAAAAATGTTAAGGGAGCATATATAACTTCGATGCCCGATGTATTGTTTATCTGAATTGTTACTATACATATTTTGTTTTCATCACATTGCAAATTCGGCCAATATTTTAATGACTTGAACTATAATGGACAAACTATGCATGCACATAAAAGAAGATGCGGTAATGATTGCTAATGAGACTACTCTCCACAAGAGATTAAATGACACAGAAATAAACAGCTATGGGTCACCATACTTATTCACAATCACTGACTTGCTTTGCATATACAAATGAATTATGGAACTACTTTTCCCCCTTTTTTAATTATCATATTTTTGTTTAAAGGTAGATTCACCAACATCAGTGCTAGGTGGCCAGGATCAGCACATGATTCTCATGTTTTCAGAACCTCAGCCATAGGACAACATCTTGAGAATGGATATCAAGGAGTTGGAAAAGGTGTATTGTTAGGAGACAGTGGCTATCCCTGCAGACAGTTTTTGCTGACACCATACAGACAACCAGCTGCTGGTAGAGGTCAAGCAAGGTTTAACAGAAGACATTGCTCAACAAGGTCAACAATAGAAAGGACATTTGGAATATGGAAGAAGCGCTTTCACATTCTAGGATCAGAGGTAAAATTAATTCTTTACAAATAATCATAGTAGTAAAATGAATATATGACATAGTGTATGCCCTTATATTTTAAAAGTTATGTTGTTTTTTTCTTGTGAGAGCTGTCTACTAAATCTTTCATTAGTACATTTTTTCTATTTCTCTAAATTTTGGTTTAGGTATTCATTATTGTCCCCTTCTCTGTCTGGGCCTTTTATAGCCACAAGGAAGCTATTAAGCCAAGAGTTCCAAATGGTGAAGTTGAAATCATCCCTTCGTAAATTTTACGGACGCCATCACGAGTTGGTTGACCGTTATGGAATAACCGTTTCACAGATGATATCGGATATGTTCCTTATGTCGTAACTACAATACCCTTCCCTTTTCACGAATATGACTTACCGAATTAGACTATTTACCAGATTTGTAATAACATAAGCAACACGACGGGTGCCACATGTGCAGCAGGATCTGCTTACCATTCCGGAGCACCTGAGATCACCCCCAGTTTTTGGTGGGGTTCGTGTTGCTTAGTCTTTAGTTTTCTATGATGTGTCATCTGTACTATTATTTGTCTGTTTGTCTTTTTATTTTTGGCCATGGCGTTGTCAGTTTGTTTTCGATCTATGAGTTTGACTGTCCCTCTGGTATCTATCGTCCCTCTTTTATAGCCTACTATACGGTTTTTTTTTATATTGCTGACGGCCGTACGGTTGCCTATAACTGCTTACATTTACTTCATTTTAACTTTGCAGGATTTATTTATAAAATTGACAATCATACCAAATCTCCTCATTTTTATTATGTAAAAAAAAGAGAAAACTGAAAAATCAGTTGTATAGTAAGTAAAGTAATTAAATTTGTATTATAGTGACATGTGTAATAACAGTTTAACAAAATACAAATATATTATATAAACAATAAAATACACCCGACCCATTGGGTCTATGATCACGGATATTAAAGGGCTGATAAAGCTGACCTCAGCAACACGTAAAATATCAAGCCGGGACAAAAACACAATGATCAACAATTCATCACACAGATTAAAACCCTAAAATTATATGTAGAATCACACAGATCAAAACCCTAAAATTATATGTAGAATCATACAGATCAAAACCCTAAAATTATACGGAGAACAGGGATCCAGTTGGAAAATTGGTAATGTTGGTTCGGTAAATTCAGGTAGTCCAGTTGGGGTAGATGCTTCAAGTTAGTCATTACTGTAACTATAATAAATCATGAATGAAACAGTACATCATCGGTTGGACTTTTTGCTCAGCTTCATACCTGATTTTGTCCTTTTTTCATTAATAGTGGTTTCAAATATGCACATGTTACATTGTGTTTCTGTTACTGAAAGTATTTTTTTTCGTAATAGATTTATTTAATCTCAGCCTTATTCATGAACAACTTCATGCTACTTACAAATAGCATTTCTGTCACACTTTAAAATTAGAAATAAATGTTTTTAAATTGTATTTCAGATCCGAATGAAACCAGATAAAACTTGCCGTATCATCATTGCTTGGGGTGTTCTGCACAATATTGCCATAATGAGGAATGAACCTGACGTTGCAGAAGAACAATTAATTGACAATCAACCTCAGATGCCACCCTATAATGGTCCACAGGACGGAAAAGGCATACGGGACCATTTTGCTACCACTTTTTTTGCCTAATAAATTGCATGTTTTTATTTTTCCATATTTTCATTCATTGTCATTCATTAAAAAAATGAGGAAATTTGAAAATAGCAACAAATCTTTATATGATCACTTTGACAATCTGTCGACAGAGGAAGTGTGCATTTTCGGCTTAAAAATTGGTATAGTAAATGGTGAGCAGTTAGTCGCCTATGAAATCAAAAACCCAGTAGCCATGCAACTGTACTTCAGTATAAAAATAAGAATATGTGGTATGATTGCCAATTGATTATATCAATTACCATATAGTAAAAATTAATTTATTTAAATGCCCAAAAAGGCGCAATCCAGGTCCGAAAGTACAAGGGCTGTATATAGCCAGTCAAGTTCATTTAAAACTTCCATCATCCTGATTGCCAATGAGACGATGGGGTATCCCGAAAAAACAATTTACCCAAGACCAAATGTCCTCAATATCAGCAATTATAGGTTCCAGTGCAACAATTGTAAAACAATTCAGATAAGTTAAACCAATCGCCAGAATTATATAATAAATAAACCAAAAAACAAACAAATTTGAAATACATTAACAACAGACATCAATTAAAATTACAGGCTCCTGATTTTGGGAAGGTACATGTAGAAGAATTGCAGCGAGGATCTAAAGACATTTCATTTCTTGCAAGTAGTCAAAAACGAAACATCGGAGCTAGCTTCCTGTTCATGCAGTTGCATTATTACATCCTTAGATCATTGAGTTTTTGGTTGAAATACTTGTCATTTTTTTATAATTTTTTGATTCATGCATCACTTAGGGAGCTACCATTTGATTTTTATGGGGGGGGGGGGGCTAGGATGAAAAATTTTGTCCTGCATTTTTTTTTGTGTAATCTCTGTATCTCTGTCCTGCCTTTTTTTATTAGATTATCCTGACTTTTTTTACATAAACTATTATCCTGCCTTTTTTTTTTTTTTTTGCCAAGTTGCTCATCCTGCCTTTTTTTTTACTCAAAACTCCTGTCCTGCCTTTTTTTCAAATTTCATCCTAGCCCCCCCCCCCCCCCCCCCCCCCCATAAAAATCAAATGGTAGCTCCCTTATGATTCTTTGAATGATGGAGGTGCATTTGGTGTTGCTAAATTGTAATTACTATTTTCTTTTACATAGGAGTGTGTACACAAAATGAATTTGGTGGCCTCATAATAATTTCTAAAATAAAAATCAACAATATAACAATGAATTTAATACGTTTAAAACATAGAGGCAAGTGCCTGGGAGAGTGTGACCGGTTCTGAATTGCCATCCACTAACTTCTGTAAAAGCTCAATTTGGAGTTCCAGTTTTTTCTTTTCTAGGTCCATTTGAATGTTCTTCTTCTCTTGTATCACTAATTTACCCTGCAGTGCACGATACTGTATGTCATGTATGTCCTGCACTGTTACCTTTTTTGAGGGTGTTCTCACTATCCTACAAATAAAAAAAACATAATGATTTTTTTCAAAGATTGAATAATTTTACAACTCTTTTTATTGATCGATACCCAGGCATAATTCCACCAAATAGCTACTTACAACTCGGGGGCCACTTTCTATATACAAAGTGATTGAACGACGTGCCGTTGGAATATGTCATGTTTTCCGGCTTGAAATATGTAAATAGGTGGGGAAAACTATCAGAAATATATGAAAAGGTAAAAAAAGTACCAATTACTTGTATACCAAAAAGCTCTGTCTGAGACCGTCAATTTTCACATCCTAAAAAGTCTCGCTGTAAGTTGAATTAACATTACATACAGAATCTTAGCCCTTATTTCATTGGCGGATCCAGAAATTTTCACAAGAGGGGGCCCACTCCAGTCATGCTTCAGTGATTCTCAATATAATCAACCAAATTTTTCCCACAAAAGGGGGAAGGGGTGGGGGCACAAGCCCCCTGGGCCCACCCACTAAATCTGCCTCTGAAATGACCACACGAAACCCAACAAATATGAGAAAAGGTTACATTATTAACCACGCAATATAGGAAAAGGACTATACATTTTTAATATCTTAATTATATTAATAGGGTGGGGTCACACTAGAACCCCAGCGGCAACCCTACTAATCAAGTATTGATCCCCCCACCACCACCACCACCACCACCATCCCCGATGCTTACTTAGGTGCTGACATGACAAAAACTTGAATACATTTAAAGTTATTATAAGGAAATATATCACTATAAATCAATATACCATATAGTTCTATCCTTAGCAGAATTTGTCAATACTTTTTAGGTTTAGGTTTGAAAGATTGTCACGTTTAGTGATATTAATGACTGCATTGTCATGAAGAACCGATAGCAAAATCTCACTTTGAGGTTCATTGTTGGAAATATAAACATGCATTGACAAATTTAATTTTATACATTGTATCAAGAAAAAAGTGTTGACCAAATAAACTAGCGGAACCTGTTTACACAACACATTTTTAAAGAGTTCTTGTTGCAGGCAAGGATTTGTATAGTACCATATCTTACTATACAAATCCTTGTTGAAGGCCTTACTTTTAATTTCTGTGTCATTTTGGTCTCTTGTGGAGAGTTGTCTCATTGGCAATCATAACATATCTTCTTTTTTATATTTATTTTAAACTTACTTCCGCTTTTCTGTAATACTTGTTTGTACTGGAACAACTGTTTTTGTTAGGATAGGGTCATATCCAGTCAGCAGAAATGGACTCTGTGGACTGAGAGGGGGTGGACTGTCACTGATAAGTGATGCTGCCGACTCATAGAGATCCTGGCTGGCATCTTCTTCTGGTAATGTGGCAGTGATAGTTGGTGGATCTGTAATATATGACAGAAAATTGACTTGTTGATACTGTGTTTGGGTATTTTATCTATCTGTTTATAGGGGGCCGGGGCAATGGAAACATATCATCATACATTAAATTCAGATACAATGTACTTTAAATTGCAAGTAAAAAAAAAATTGCACAAGACTTAATAAGACCCTATGTCAACCCTTTAAATATTATTATGGGTCTCAACTATAAACTATGTGTTCCTGTCTAGGTTCAGACTGCAACAACAAATAGATAAACTTTATTCCGGATTTATGATAACCAGTCCGTATGTGTTTTATAGTATTATAAATCATGACTGGTTTTCGCTCCAAATTATCTATTGTGGTTCCTTTTAATCTAACAACAGATACCAGTTTGAAGACGACTTGGCGGGCACCTGCCACTTGTGAACAAATGTTGAAAATAACACTTTGAAATCTTTATCAGTTTAAACAAATGCAATCTTGCAATAGTAAAACAAGAGCAGAACCTTCAAATCAACAAGAAACACGTTGGCAATCATTTAAGTAATAGAACATTTGTCAAAATAAATTGTTTTCAGTCACATGATATCAGTTGGGAATTCCCCTACTTGTTGTGACGGCGGAGCAGACGAAACTTTTACTAAAATTGAATAAGGGAAACTATGTATCCCGGGATTAAAAAGGCTACGAATATGTGTGTTATTTTTATCGAATTTCATTAAAAATTAACAATAACAATAAAAAAACACCTTCAAAACAAAATTTTGCTTGTGAAAATTAAAAACATTTAGTTGATTGAAACTGTTAAAGTTCGCTTTTTACAAGGTGCAATAAAAAGGGTAGAGCCTTGGGAAGTTCTAATTAAGGGAAAAAAACATTTGGGGATATATTCTTATGTGCTAAATATTATTTACATACTTGTCTGGAATGACTCTGTTTCAAGTCCACCCTGAATCCCTCTGAAGCTGGTGGTGTCCTTCATCAGGTGGATAACCCTCTCCACTGGCACTGCTGTGCTGGGTTGCTTTGGAGCTGGTCCTCTCCCAGTTTTGAATATTTCATTCCTGTGTTTTGAATAAACGGCCTTGGCCACTCTTGTGGTGTTCCTCCATTTGTTTCGTACTTCTGTTGAAGTACGAAGAGCAACTCCAAGAGAATTTACCTTGATGGTAATCTCATCCCAAATGTCTTTTTTTAATTTATTCGTTACTGTGTTTGTTAATTTTCCATTTATGATGTTGGAGTTTTTTTCCACAAGCTGTTGTATCAAGTCTTCTTCTGCCACAGTAAAATTGGTCTTCTTTAGCCTTTTCAGTTTGCTTGGGGTTTGTTCAACTGGTTCAGCCATTTTTTTACAGACAGGAAGCTCATAAACAATGAATGATGGGTAGGTTTTATTTAATCACTTGATTAATCAGTTGATTAAATTTTAACGCATTGATTAATCAGTTGATTAAATTTTAATTCATTGATTAGTTAAGCAACGCGTTAAATATTGTTGAACAACAGAAAATAAACGACTCGCTAAAATAACGACAAGATGAACAACAGAGCCCTGAAAGCTAGTAAAGCACCAATCATTCATTTTTTGTTGGGGATTGGTATATATTTTCGGGACAAAGATTTATTTACGACTTTAATCAAAACATTTTTTTTTTAACTTCAATAAAATGCGGCAACAAGGAATGTTTATTGAAATGCTGCATGTATTTCCCCTAAATGGAAACATCTATTATTGTTCCTTCAACTATGAAACAAAAAAGTAAGTAAGCAATGGACGAGGTTGTTAAATGTGATATATACTTTTTTGTGCTTCTTAGTTAAATATTTGTTTGTTTTTGTTGTGATTAAGATTGTGACACGGTGTTGACTACTGTATCCCGATTTTGACATTCTTACCTATTATGTCTGTTTGTTTTATTCACGCATCGTTGTCAATATAATGGAATTTGATGCGACTGTCATACAAGTGAGAGGTTTAGTGCTATAAAACCAGGTTCAATTCACCATTTTCTACACAAGAAAATGCCTGTACCAAGTCAGGAATATGACATTTGCTGTCCATTCGTTTGATGTGTTTGTGCTTTTGATTTTACCATTTGATTAGGGACTTTCTGTCTTGAATTTTCCTCGGAGTTCAGTATTTTTGTAATTTAATTTTTCCACAAAACACATTTAGAATCAAACAATTTAGATGTATTTGATATTAAAAAAAAATGCTTTCCCCC